ACAAACTTTACGAGCTTTGGGGCCTAAGTGGAATAGCATTTTCACCTACAGAATCCCTACATCTTCTGGTTGGGAGAAGGTCTTCTCTTGGAGGATGACTTTCTTGAAGAGGCTAGTTTAGCATCAGACAGCCTTGAGCCTATGGCTCCACGTTTGGGTAGCTGAAGATAAAATGGGACCAGCGTGGTTGGAAAAAGCAGTATCGTGCCATGCCACCTGAAGTGGTTTCAGAACTGCTTGGCCTCCGAGATGTAAAATGTCCAGAACTGTCAAACAAGCTTTTATTTTGTTCGTTCTTCTCTTCTTTTTCTAGTTGTTTCCTTCCAGGAAACATTGCAGGGAAACATTCAGGTTATATGCAATACGGTCTCTTAGAACTTACATATGCAACCTTGATTTCTTCCCCACTGGGTGCCCTCCAGATGTTCTGGACTTCAGTTCCCATGAGTCCCAGTCGCACCTGCCAGCGGTCAAGAATGCTGGGAGCTGCAGTGCAAAACGTCCAGAACCCACCCGGTTCCAAGAAGCGGAGACAACCTGGCCTCCAGATCCCTGGGGAAAAAAATGTGGTTTCTCCCTGTGCCAAATTCGTCCTGCGTTCGTCTTTGCCTCTTGCTGGAGTATGTTCTGGACTTCAGTTCCCATGAGCCCCAGTCGCACCTGCCAGCGGTCAAGAATGCTGGGAGCTGCAGTGCAAAACGTCCAGAACCCACCCGGTTCCAAGAAGCGGAGACAACCTGGCCTCCAGATCCCTGGGGAAAAAAATGTGGTTTCTCCCTGTGCCAAATTCGTCCTGCGTTCGTCTTTGCCTCTTGCTGGAGCGTTCCAGCTCAAGTGAGCGGTACGTTTCAGAGGGAAGTGCATGGAAAGGGCATCAGGTGGAGATGATCCTGGCCTGGAGGTCGGTTGCAATGTTAGCACCGGCTTTCCTTGCCAGTGCAAGCCTGCTTGAGCAGAGAGAACCTACACTCGGGGAGCACCGGGTGTCAGCTGTGAAGGAGCAGTCTCGTTTCTCTGAATGGGAGACGCCCCCTCCCCTCTTCCTTCCTTCCTAAAGTCCCGCACTCTGGCACACCTTGGGTCTCACAAGTCCAGAATGGGCAGCTACTACAACCACCCCCCAAAGTGGTCCAGAGTATAACGGTGAAGAGCGTGGTGGAAATTATGGGTTGTGGGTGGGGGCCGTTGAGGGAGAGTTCGGATTGTTTGTGTGGTCACCCTTCCCTTGCGCTCCTTCCTCGTTCTGTTTTGATAATCATGAGCCATAAGTGAAAGACGCAAACCTCGCATTGTAAAATAGCAGCTAAACCAATATGATTTTACAGGAAATTTTGAGCCCTGTTCTTACTCTTAGGGGACTTTAAAGCTTGGGTAGGAGAATTGCAAAAAAGAATTTTTGTACATTGTTCATGCTTTTTTAAAAAAAACGTGCTTCTCTCTCCCCCTTCTTCTGATTTCATGCCGAACAATACAAAGCCCATTGGATTTTATTTTTGTAAGCCAGACTTCTGATAGATGCTGAGTGGATCTCCTTAAGAGTCTTTAATCAGATACTGGCTTGATCGGATCACGAAAGCTTGATTTCGGCTATCTTTGCTTCAGACGTGGGACGATTCCAAATACAAATCCTTACTGATTATGCCTCCAAAGTCAAAATCCAAATGTGAAATGCTTTTTCTTCTTCTTTTTGGCTGCTAAATTTCTGAAATTTAAACCCGTTTTTTCTGCTCCAGGTAGAGGCTCAAAAGCCTTCTCCGCTTTCAAACTTTCACTGGTGATTCTCATCTCTGAGCAAAATCTCCTCCCGGTTCTTAGGAGAGGTGGGGTTTTTTTGGTTCAGAAGTGTGGGCCAAAACGGATAACATTTTTGTTTCTTATAAGAGGGTAATTGTGAACAAATTCTCAGGTGGATCGCCCCTCAGGGTCTGAGCTCTGACGACCAGTTTCTGCGTTGCCAGACGCCGAGGCCTTGTGCTTAAAAGGAGAAAAACAATATTTTTGTGGCTTTTTGGGGGTTGGGGTTTAAAATGTAATCGTGGAGGAAAAGCCAAGGAATTGTAGAAACGACTGTGGAATAAGCAGTGAATTGTTGGAGGCATGCGGTAGATGCTTGGATTTAAAATGCATCTGGTTTTACCAAGATAGGAAAGTGCCATGGATGATAAAGGCATAGGAGCAGAGACATTGCCAAGGCACGCCCAGATAAATTTATTTATTTGAATGCCTTGTTCCAAAATTTTATAGCACTTAATTTTGGAAAGTGAAAAGAAGAGCTAATCGTACATAGGAAAATATGAGTTATCAGTATCCCCCCCTCCTTTTTAAAAAAAGGGATAATATATCATCCCCTACCCTGCCTTTTATTTTATGAGCTGTATGGTACAAATTAGTCAGTGGACAATATATGTCAGTGATGTTATGCCATGTCCGGACTATTCTGTTTTGTTTTGTTTTTAAATTGTCATTTCTCTTTGCCATTGATTGAGAAGTGTTATAGCTAGGAGGTCTCTCCCCACCCCTCTATTTTGGAAAATACAACCATGATAAAACCAGGTACATTTAAAATCTCCCCGAATTTTCTCCTTCCCTTTTTCTTTTTGCAGCATAGTTTTGAAATGTTTTCTAAAAGGTCTTGCATAAAAGAGAGGGGCCCCCTCCATCAGCCCATCCCTTGGTCAGCTCTGTGGCTGGATCGGGACCAGCCTGGCCACAAATGACCACAGCCTTCTCCCCATTGCCTTCCAGAGGTATTTGACTACAACTCCCAGTCTCCCCAGCCAACATAGCCTGTCAAGGGACCATGGGAGCTGTCGGCCAAACCCGCTGGGGAGAGAGATGTGTGTTTCTCTTTCCAGAGGTTTCATTTCTTTTTTCAGTCCATTCATGTCTGCCTCTCAGTGGCTTCTTCGTAGGGGACTGGAAGCAATTTCCTTGCTCGACCTTTTTGCTTGACCGGGTCACCGGAACTGAAGATGGGAGAACAGGTCTCCTGCATGGAGCACGGTGCACGGTTGCATGTTCGTTCCCCTTTTTAAATTGGCCAGCCTTATGACGATATGGGAACCTTTCTGCTCGGCAGCCGTGCGGGGCAGGGGGTTGGTGGATGGGGCTCTTTTTTTGCATTCCTCCTGTGCGCTGTGAACCGTGGCTGTTGCTAGCAGACTGGAAGACCCAAGCGAGGGAATCCCAAACCTTGGGTGAAAAACCAGCCTTCTCCATCTAACCGGACCCGGAACAGCGGTCTCCCCCCAGATCAGTGTCCTCGGAACGGTCAGACTACGGATCCCATCACTGCCGGCTGAGGAAGGTGGGAGTAGTAGTCTGGCCCTCTGGAAGGCCTTGGGTTAGGAAAGATTTGGGTCGTGTTTGCAAAGATCCCTCCCTTCTCCAGCAAAACCCTCACTCTCACCCC